TTTCAACGTGCGCTTGTTTTAACACGTGTTATTATATCGATTCCCGTCGTTATATTCCTTTTACAAGCCTTACATTCTGGTATACGAACTCCGCATTGATGCCGGAAGATTTATTGACAATTAATGCACTAAGCGTCGGTTATAAATACCGGTTTCGCCGGCAGAAAACTGGTTTCATTATTTTTACACGCATTCCTTCGAGATATAATTGTCGCGTCTATAGGGTATAAATAACATTACGTAATAAATGAACGAGCGTTCCAATAATTTTGATATTCCGTAGTTAGTAAATCGACTAGGGCGTGACTCTCTCGTAATTGTAAGATGAATTCAAAAGCGTCCATAAAATAATTGAAGTATCCTTTTTGTCACGTTCGATACTCCCCGATATTTTTCACATTGCCTTCAGTTTCTTATATGTATATAAATGAACCGTAGACTCCGTGAAAACTAGTTCTTTGTGAATGTTATAAAGTCATGCTAAGTACAGAATCTATTTTATCTGTCTATGATTAAATATTGTTAAAAAAATTCGATTAAACCCCAGTTGTTCTTTGATCCTTACATATATTCATTGCTTCTCATTCTATAAACGAGTTCGTTGACATTTAGTACGTCGAGGTTGTAATCTCAAGTACGTCACAAAAAAACTGTATCCATGACTCCGCGCCGTGGTCGTCGTAGCTTAGCCCTTTCCTCGTGCACGTTTACACATTTTTTCTTTCATTCGCCAGCACTTTGCCTAACCCGCCGCCCCCCGACTCCATTTCGTCCCAATCCTCTTTTCACATCCCGCGCAATTTCCAGGCACACTTGTCTACGCGGTGTCGACAGCGGCGCCGCGGATAGAACCGAGTAAATGGAGGACGGTTCTGGATACACCGTCGCGCACAAAGAGACATCTGAAATTTCTGCACTCACACATGGAGTGGAGTATTTCGGGAAGGTTGCTCGGGAGGGGGCGGAATTAATGGCGTGTGCACCGTGGATAAAGTGCCCCTGTGCGGTCTCTGAAAAGACACGCGTCCCGTTCTCACCCTGCGCGCCACTGGCCGGCAAGAGACAAACGTAGAGATTCTAGACGAGTAGAGGGAACAGAAATGCGGGCAGGAAGAAAGAGGAAGGTCTGACAGGGTAGCTGGGAGGCAGTGGCAGCCGGGCCATAACTGCGTTTAGTAAACACAGGGGTAAGTTACGCCGGCGTGCGGCAAACGACTCCTCCCGTGACAAAACAAAGTTTGATACGCGCGGGGAGTTACTACACTACACTTGCACGTTGCCGCCTCTCCTAGGCTAGGCTATCCATCCCTCCGACTCTCCTTTTGCCCGTACTCTAGAACCCCGCTAAGAGTGTTCGGTTTGCCGGGTGAAACTACCGGCCTGCGGGGTTGTTTACCCGCAAAAGCAATTACGCATCGTCACCGCTCGATCTCGTCTGGACGCGACCGTCCTCGGTTACCTCCAAAAATCAAGCTCTTTGTTCCCGACGTTTACCCTTTTTTCTTCTTTCCTTTTTAATCAAATTCAATGGCAGTTTTTTAAAAAGAAATTTTAAAAAGAAAAAGATATAAGAAACATTTATGTATAATTTACATTGTATGAACAGAATCATAAATAAGAATATATGCATACATGTATACATATTAGATGAAGATTGAATAGATTCTGTTTTGATTAAATAATTGCATTAATTTGTTTCTCGTATAATAATGCATTAAGTGAATATAATTAATTGCAGATCTCTAGATATTAGTAAATATCCATTGTGTTCCGATTTGTCTGTCAAATGAACGTCGCTGATCGGATTAGGGGCTTCTATTCTTGGGAGGATTGACATATCTGTTTCCTATTCATAGAATCAACAATTATGTGCTGTCGAAACGAACGTATCGTATCAACGATAACGATCGGATGCTCCGATAATGATAATGACAGTATATCAACTAGTCCATTACATCATTAGTGAATGCTCAGCTCAACTCGCTGGTGCATTATACTCAGCGAAACGTTGTTAATAAATTCGCTCGAATAGGTTCATATCTGGGGGTCCAGGTACAATACCATTTTAAATTTTATATCATGTTAAACATTATCACTATTAATCATGTTGATTAAAACTAAAACGTTGAGATTGTGCAGAAAATTTAATGAAAAGAATGATTCAATGTAATTAAAAGAAACAAATGATTGTTGACGTATTTGTCAATGGCTAACAGTAAATATCATTATTTTATTAATTGTTAAGCTTTGATCGAAAATGATAAATAAAATTCAGAATGAGTGTATATAATTAATTTTAAAAAATCTTTAAATGTATTGTGAACGAAATAAGAATTAACAGTCGTGACGTGATGCAACTGAGTTACGTCACTGGTATGCGTTGAATAAGGTAATCGGTTTATTCCCTTGCATGTAATTGCGGGACAAAGCATTGTTCAATATCCAATTCCCTTCGTAGCGAGAACTCTTCTGCACACCACAAAACTAGCTCGTGACACAGCCTCTATGTTCCCCCCGGTCGAACAATTAATTATACACTCGTTCAGATAGAGAATTTCAAGTGTTCGGGGAATCAATTCGCGTTCTCTCGTCGCCGGAGATCTACACGTTTCGGTTTACCAGAAATCGTGTATAAATTAATTTGCGTGGCAGCAACCGATTAGGGAATTTGCGTTTGATAATCGACAGGGCAGCATTTGACGAACAATCGGTCCTCGATGAAGTACTCACTGTTCGGCATAAGAGTACGAATAATCGTCGACGGGATTCCGTGAGAAAGTAATGAATGCACGTGAATTAAAAATCTGACTCTTTAGACAGTAGATCTGAACGATCAAATGAAAAAAGATCATACTTATGATATGTTCTTAAAAACTTAGAATCAATCACATTGTACTACATTTTGAATTATTTTTTATTTTATGTTAATCATATCATGAATAATTAATGTAGACTAAGCAATAGATTATGATAGTCGGTTTCTTTAGAAATCGTGGACGATTAATCATGGGAATCGATAAAGCGAAGGAAATTAATTTACCGCAAGTAACCGCACGTCCTCCACTTCGAACGATGAAAAGCTTCAATAAAAAACACTTTTCTTCTTTCTTATCTCATTTTTATGCGCTGCAGGTAACCAGTCTTCTTAGTTTTCGTATGGGGTAATAAATAAACCACTTTTGCGAGCCGTTCGACGCAGGAAAGAGAACGAAGATAGAAAAAGATGGAGGATTAACGCCTTCGAGCCGACGCGAGTATATTGAAAAATGTAGTTGACTTTAGAGATACGTACAACATCGACTTAAAATGTGAACCCGTTGAAGAACTGATCAATTTTTAGCTGAACGAAGCAAGAGAAAAAATATGAGAGGAGCTTAAATGTTGGTTCGCGTTCTTTAAAAAATCGCCAACTCCACCGGAGGAGACGTGTACATGCAAAGGTTGTCAGATTGACGTAACAGGTTCGTGGGCGGCACTTTGAAACTTCGGCCGCATCTATCACGCTAACGTGATGTTTGCTTTTATTCCCGCGGCAAAATGCTCTTTGCTTTTTGTATAATAACTGAATGTTCTTTCTTCCTTTGATGCAGTACGTTTAACTCTTTTAATTAGATGTAACTAATTCTTGTTCCGTGATAAAAGTTATTGAAGCAAGCGTGTATTTTGATTCATTATAAAAATGGAACAGTGACCGTGTTGGAACGTCATTAATTAGAATAGTAACATTGAATTACATTTAATCGGCGTAATTAAGTAGAACATCATCCGCGACGGACTCGTTAATGAAGACTTTAGGTTGGCAATACGAAATGAGCAATGGCACGACATATATTGTCGATTAGCTTTTTTTTCACGCTTTTTGTGGCTCGTGCCACGCCGTGGGCGCCGTCGGGCGACTTTAAGGAACAGGTATCGCGAGGACGGCGAAGGGGGGGAGTAGGTTTCGCTAAAAGGAAAGAGGAAACGGTGCGGCCGGCGATGCGGCGCGGCGGGGCATCGCGGAAGCGTGCGTGAGCGGAGCGCATTTATTGCCGGCGTAAAGTAAAATTACCGCTGTAACTGCTGTTACCGCAGAAGCAGCTCACTCTTTCCTCCTTTCATCTGCCCGTTGGCCGCGTGTAACGCGAAATTCCCATCGTTTTAGTGGCAACTGAAGCAGAACCATTTTCGGTATGTACCCGCGAGACTGGCATCGCATAACGGGACCGAACGCAAGCAGTTTCGTTTCCCTCGTCTTTATTTTCGCTCGCGCTGTGCACGGATCCTTCAACCCGCGCAGAATTTCGACTGCTTCCCCCGTGGAAAACCCGTATTTCGTGCTTTCGAGCTTTTCAACGACCTACTATTAAAAACCTCGTACCTAATATATAAATTCTGTCGAGAGTTAGAGAGTCTTTTACTTATCACATATTTTCATTCTGGGAAAAGAGCGTCTCATATTTAGACTAGAAAGCTACATAGCTACAGTAAAATAATTGAAAATTTAGATATTTCCTACAATTATTAATTATTATTTATATTCCTAATTGGAATCTTCAAAAGACGTTTACGAAGTACAGAACTAAATAACTAAATTGATGGAAATACTGTTCTAAAATTTTATAACGGTGTGTAGAAGAATTCCCATTCCGAACTCCCTAGTCAGGTGCACAGTGCGTTTAAATTACGCTAGGAAAACTGAAACACGGCTAGTTCTCGATTTTGCGCGAGATCCTTGAGCCAAGTGCTTTCTCTCATTTTTTTCCCCGATGGGAAAAACCAGACGTTATATTGACCTACCCATATAGCTAGACAGCTGGGCTTGTTTACGTGGGCGATTTTCCCGTTTTACATATCTCGGACGGCATTCGACTGTTACGTGTATTCCTATCGCTGGACACAAGGGAGTGTCAGCGATTGTTTTGTGTCAGCCATAGAGTTTTGCTAATGCTGTATGACCTCGCGTTGCCACCTCAAGTATTGTTAAAGTTAGTCAATTTAATTAAACGTGCAGTACATACCTCCTGACGATGACAGCTGCGAAACCTGTGAACAAAAACAATGATTTTTACTTCATATTAAAGAAGGTGCTTTCAATGAAATCATGAAACAGTCAATTATTTCATGGGATTATTTCTATTGATTCCGACCATATGTGTAATAGACATTCTTAAATTGCCACAGTTTTATTCATCGGGTCATAGCTACCGGAGGGGACGCGAGGAATAAATGAGGAGAACACGGCAGGGTTAAATAGCCTAGGGCGGGTTTGACTGTTGCCCGGCAGCTGCCATGCTACGTGCTCCGTGCTGCGTGCACTTTCCTAAATTTCCCTTTCTCGGTGGTACAAGTGTTCTCCGACTGAACTCCCGATCCGCTGCAAGAGACGACGATAAAGCGACGAACAATCGTGTCCCCAGCTGAAGGCTATTAATATTCGGTCGATTGTTTAATTTGAAATTCGCCCGGCACGAATTGAACTTTCCCCCAGGCATCGAGTTTAATCGAAAACGCAATGTGAAAGAGAAAGGTTTCTTATTTGAAAGTTCGTCGAAACTTTTTTAGGCAACTTTCTTTCGCAAATTTTCAGACTTCTCGTTGGGTAAACCAACTCGTATAGTTTAGAATCTTGAAACTTTTGATTGATATTACGAACGTTCTTTGACGTCCTGATAATTAGAATTTGATGATCGTGCAATTGTAAGTACGAAATTTTATGTTAATTAACTAATATTTTTATTTGAGGATCAACATAAATCTCGCGTAATAACGATACAGTTCAATTAAAATTTTTCATCGATTTATTTTCATTGTTAAATAAACAACCGTTGCTGGAAGAAAGCTTGTTAAGGATGTATTGGCTATACAGTCAATCCCAAAAGTTTATGTACCTTAGAAAAACGCATTTCCTATAATTACAAAGAAACCAGACGTCGGAAGAATAATGCTAATAATAAATAGCTACGTGCTAAAAAGTATAGAAGGAAATATCCAATTAAGTATTGACGCTGATGAAAAATTTTTTTCTCAAAATATCGAAAATTTTTAATAAAACATAGTGCACTTT